ATGACTGCTCACCACGACACGTGGATCCCTTTCCTAATTGGCTTCCTGTTCTCTGAGAGCCCCGAGCAAGACCCAAAGGCCCCCCGCTGCTGGGACTTTCCCAGTTCACGGCTCTCAGTTTCCATGAACTTGGCCTTGTGGGAGCCGGCCTGAAGCAAGGCCGCATCTCCCTGCGTGCCTCCCTCCCTGCCCAGGATACGGCGCTGCCTGCTGCCGCGGGAAAGGCGGGGAACAGACGGGTTTACAAGCAAGCATCACCCCCAGTGGCAATGACCCTGGGAGCCCCAGCGGCCTCCACGGCGCCCTTGGTAATATTCTCTCCATTATCTTTGCAAACAGCCCTTCCCATGTCGCCCCCTTCCCAGTCCTGGAGGGGGATCCCAAACATCCCCTGAGGATGAGGTCTCTTCCATGCTCCCCTCCCCCACCAGCCCCCCGCTGTCTTCAGCTTTGGGGGGCTGCCCAGGCAAGAGTCGGCAGGATGGAGCCCCATGGCCTGAGTCATGGACGTGGAAAGAGCTGGACCCAGATCCACATACACACATACAGCCCCAGGCCACCGGGGAGAGGACCTCTGCCCTTCTGAGCTTCAGTTTCTTCAGAAAATTTGGAAAATGGAAAATACAAGAGAAAAAGTACTGCCACCCACGACGCTGGCACCCAACGCGCCCACGCACCGGCCTGCTTCCCTCCCGTCTTCTGTTGTCTATCAGGGCCTGGGGGGCTCTCTGCTCTCAGACTCCAATGTCACAATCATCCAGAAGGGCCTGAGGCCTACTGCGGTTTCTTAGCCCCCAGTGCGGTTCCTGATCTTCCACGGGGACAGATCGCACTCAGCATGGGCACGGAGACAGTGGGGAGCAAGGGGCAGGGGCCCGGGCCGGCTGTGGGCCCTGACGCCGGCCTCCCGGCTCAGCCTCCACCCCTTTCCCTCCACAGCAGTGCAGGGCTGTGCAGAGATGACCCTGAAGGCACCTGGCGGAGGCCCGGTGCAGACAGAGAGCCCGGATGATGGTGGTCCGGGCACCCCACTGCTGCGGCCTGGCCCGCGCTCCCGATAGCCTGTGCCCGACCAGCACCAAGGTCAAGTGCTACTCTCGGCTCTGTCTCCTCTCCTTGGCCGGCCCAAGGCCAATCACACGATCACTTTCGAGCCCTGGGCCTTGGGGCACGTGGCTGGCTCAGTGGGTGAAGTGTGCGATTCTAGATCTCGGGGTTGTGAGTTCCAGCCCCACACTGGGTATAGCCCTGTATCCTACGGGATCCTTAAAAAATAAAATCTTTGGGGGTGCTGGGGGAGGGGCTCAGTCGATTAAGCCTCTGATTCTTGGTTTGGGCTCAGGTTATGATCTCACAACTGTGAGATCAACCCTTACATCAGGCTCTGTGCTGGGGGTGGAGCCTGCTTGAGCTTCTTTCTCTGCCCCACCTCTGCTCATGTTCTCTTTCTCTCTCGCAAAATAAACTAAAAAAAAAAAATCTTTAAAGAAAAGCGTCTGGCCCTGGGTTCCCAGCTGCATAGCAGCTGCTGAAAGTCAGCACGAACAAGGTGATCCTGCATCCTGCTGCAGAAACAGGGACGGGGTGGTCAGGGTGGGCCTCAGAGGAGGTGTCAAGATATGGGCGCAGAGGGGAGAACAAGGATGGCGGCTCTGAGGTAGGAATGAGCTTGGTGTGGCTGAGGGACAGTAAGTGCAGCAGGTGGCTGGTGAGGCCAGGAGAAGTTGGGACGAGAGACGCTGGGGGCCCCAAGGGGCAGGAAAGGGGCTAGAGCTTTATTCCAAGTGCAGCCGGAAGCTCTAAGGGGCTTTAAGTGAGGGGGTGGGGCGGAGACAGACAGACAGACAGACTGGAGGAAGCCAGAGCCGCTGTCCTGGCTGCATCGGTGCAGGGACTTGGTAGGTGGGAAAGAACACTGTCTGCTGTGGCCCTGTGGGTCCCTGCATGGCCCTCCCCCTTGCTTCCCCACCCCCACCCAGACGGTCCGGCCCTAAACTGTTTGCTGCCCCGGCCAGACTAGGCTCGGGAAACCCGAGTTTTTGCAGGGAGCGCAGGCACTGGCACATCCCCTGGTTGTTGGGGACCCTGAGAGCCGTGTGGAACAGGAGGGTGCTGGCTGGGGGCTTGGTGACAAAGGTCCTCTGAAGATGGGCCAGGGCACTGCGAGAGACTGACCCAGGGTGCCAGGATCTGTGATCCATTACCGAGGCCTGCTGTGGGCAAGGGCGGAGAGAATGGTGGCCGCAGTGTCCCCTTTCAACCACGCCCGGTCTAGCTTCGCTCTATGGGATAGAGACATTCTAGAACACGACAGTGAGGTGGGTGCTGGGCTGACCCAGGGGGGCCTGAGAAAGGCACAGGTTCTACTACCTCCTAACCTCGAGGGCACCACCAAGATGAGCCCAAGGACGTGTGTGTGAGGCCCACAGAACTTTCCAGCAAAGCAAGATCCGTCCATGTCTTTGTGAGCTCTTTAGAGGGAACTCCCTGATCACAAGAACTGGGTGTCACGAGGCCTCAGGCCCCAGTTCTGCTACGGGAGTCCCAGGAGCCGCCAGCCTCCAGGGCTCCTTGCCGTTCGTCTCACACACGAAGCCTAATTCCACGAAGCCTCCGTGCTTGCTAATCCCTGTGGCTGGAACTCTCTCCCGCGGCCGAGTCCTCGTGCAGGTGGCAGCTGACATATCAGCTCCGGCGAATGAGCCAAAGCCATTCCGCCTGCCTGGGCCTCAGTTTCCCTGTCTTCATAACGAGCAGGGGACCTCGAATCTCAGGATCACTCCATGGGTTACGCTGCGGACGATCATCAGCATTATTACCAACACCACTAACAGAGAGAAGGTTACCTATTCTCTACCCCGATTCCTATAAAGTTTGACTATCATTATCTTCAACTTCCAGATGGGGAAACTGAGGCCCTGAGAAGTCGAGCAGCTTGTTCAAGGCTGATCACACAGAATGGGGGGTGCGGGCACTCAAGCCCAGCACCCCAGTTTCCCTGCCTTCCCTGGAGGGGGAAACTCAGGTGTGAGCAGGGCAGGACCCGGGGGGCTCAGGGCCCTTGCCTAGGAAACGCCATGATGCGACACTCCTCTGGGGGAAGGAGGAAAGTGAGGCCACGTCTGAGAGCTTGTAGGTGGCACCAGAGGACAGACCTCCCTGCCCACCCCTTCTCTGCACCCCAGTTTAATTTCCTCATCTGCCACGAAGACGAAGAGCCGCGTCGGCCCTGCGGGCAGCTCCCAGGGGTCAATAGCAATGCACGAGGAGCACGTGGGGTGTGCTTCTTGGGGACTGAGCGCCCCCTGTGGCCAGGCTCTGGGGACACAGGAGGGAACAGGGCAGGCTCAGCAGAGGGACAGCCCACGCAAAGGTCAGGAAGCCCCGGGGGGTGAGATGAGTTCAGGAACAGACGGCAATTCGCAGGCCAGAGGGCAAAAGGCCTTTGCAGTGAGACTGGAGGGGTCAACACGGCCAGTTCTCACACCCACGTACCCAGGGCGGAGGCACGGACTTCACCAGAGCTCAGGGAGGGTTTAGGCAGAAGCCTGGCGTTGTGAGGGTTTTTTGGTCAACAATGAGGCTGTCTGGCTGCCACGTGGGAAGGAGGGAGATTATGTACAGATGGGGAACCTCAGTAGGCTTCCTGGAGGAGGTGACTTAGGAGAGTCTTGGGAGAAGAGAGCTCAGAGAGCCTAGGAAGGTAGGAAAGAAGGGCGGCAGGGGGAGAAGGGGGAGTTCTAGAAGGCAAGTATGAGTAGACCAAGGCCCAGGAAGGAAGGGAGGGAGGGGAGTTCTGGAAGGGAGAGCCTTGGAGATAAAGACCCAGAAGTAGGATGTTTCTGGAACGTACACCTGGGGAAGCGGGGAAGTGAAAATGAGGTCGGTGGTAGATCAGACCCACGTGTTGGTCCTCGGATGTGGGGGGGGGGAAGGTAGGAGGGTGGTGGCGGCTGCTCCCGACATCCAATCCCCCTGCGGAAGCAGCCCACCGGGAGGCTGGTGCGGGGCCAGCAGAGTGGAGTGGCCCCTGGGGAAGGCTGGCCCTGCCCGCCACACGGCTTCCCAGGAGACTTGCGGCCCGGCTGTGATGGGGGGGCACATTTCTAGGCCCCAGCTCCCTGTCCGAACAGCGCACGGAAGACCACTGGCAATGGCCATCATCTCTTGGGCATTCCTTTACAGGGAATGTCTTCCCGCCGTACACATGGGGAAACTGAGGCTCAGAGAACCACCCTTGGTCACTCGGATCGGAAAGGCCAAGTCAGGATTCTCGAGTCCATTTCTAAACCACCAGACTTCCCCGGAAGTGATCCAAGCCCGCCTCCTCCCCCCGCCTCCCCTCCCAACCTCAGGTCCACCTTAGGGTGTGAGCATCCCCCGTCAGCCCCACCTGCCACAGAGGACAATGTGCCACCCCCTGCCCCAGCCCAGGCAGGCTTTGCTCATCCCTCACAGCCCACGTTTATACCTCGCTGCTGTACTTTCTGTTTGCTCAGCGACACACAGCCTCAGAATCGGAGGCTCGAGCTGGCATCCAAGGAGACCTATGGGCCATCCTTGGTTCAGCCTCACTCAGCACTTTAGAGAAGACGTGCCCGAACCCCAGAAATGGGAAGAGACTTCTCATGGCCACCAGCGACTTAGTGACGAAGCCACAGGCCTGGGACCCAGTCTCCTGACCCGGTTCTGGGCCAAACCCCTCTCTTCGGTGAGCAGGGCCCCGGGGCCCCCCCGAGAGGCCGCAGAAAGCAAGGAGTCACCAACACCCCCTCTCTGCCCCAGATCAAGTGGCTCTAGATCAGGGGTTCCCGTCAGTCCCTTGTGAACAATGGAATCCACTCCCTCAGATGGTGGGTGAGCCACTCTCAGAAGCCACTCCCCGAGCCCCTGTCCTGGGCAGCTAGATCGCTGTCCCACTGGCCCAAAGCCAACAGCCCCAGCCCCCCCCCCCGCCCCCGCCCCCCCGCTGACAGTTCTGGGGAAGAACGGTTACTCACCACTGCTGCACCTCCTTCTCGGTAACTGCAAGAGAAAAGAGAAGCAGCCTTTTAGCGCTGGGAGGCTCTTAGGGGACGGGCAGCGCTGGGGGAGCCTCCTTCCTGCCTGTCCAGGCCCGCCCCACAGCCCCCCGCCCATGCTGGGGCACCAGGCGGCTCTGAGCAAGACCCTGCCCCAGGGGTGAGCAGTCCCCATCACGAGCACCCCTGCGGGGCCAGGACTGGGCCATCCCTCCTGATGCCCACTGTACGTCCACGGGGACCAGCGAGAACAGCCCCCCACGCGCGGGGGTGCAGGACCCAGGCCAACATTGATACACTGCTCCCCACCTCGCGACCCTGGCACAGCGCGGCAGAGTCAGAGAGGGCACTCGGCTGCTCCGCCTGTGTACGGGAGTGGGGGGGGGGGACACAGGACCAAAAGGCTGAGCCCCTCCTGGGCCCTACGGCACCCAGCACCCTTCCCCTCCTGAGCCCGCTCCTCCAGCCCCCCTCCCCTCCTTGGCCCGCCCTGCGGCACCTCACAGCGGGCAGTCCCAGGTTCCTTTACAGGCAAGCCGAGAACACAGCCCAGAATGAAAACCTGTGACAAGCCGCACAATGTGCTCGAAACTCCGGCCAAGCCCAAATAGTCGTTCTTTATTGAACCATGAAATGAACAAAAAATCTTTTTTTTTCCTGAAAAGTACGAAATTGGCTCGGGGTGGAAGCTAACCAGGGCTTCCCCTGCAATCACTGAACGAGCACGTCAGACCACCTCCCAGGCCACACTGCTCTCTGTGGGGGTGGCCTCAGCAGACTGCCTCCAGCAAGCCGTGCCTCAGTTTCCTCGTTTGTAAAGAGGGAATAACAGTAACAGAAGCTGCCAGAGGGGCTGGCCTGGGAATTCAATCAAAACCGGTGTGAAGGCTCCGGATTCTCTGGTGCAGGCCCTGACTCAGGACAGGCTTGTGGAAGGAAGGAGGGAAGGAAGGGAGGGAGGGACAGACGGAGAGGAAGGTGGGTGGTAGCTGGAGGTCAGCGGAGAAAAGGGACTGTGATCTCTTCCCAGGGAAAAGGGAAGGGAGGCCCAAGAGGGTGTCCCTGAATTGCTGAGCCCGACTGGACTTGAGGCCTATTTTCAAAAACCACTCACGGGGAGCCTGTAACAAGCGCCAGGTACCACGCGGCCGCTGGAAGCCCGGCTCTGTGCCAGGGCCGGCTCTGAGCTTTGGCTCAGCTGCCCCGACAACAGCTCCGACCGCTGGTGTGGCTCTGCCCTGGCTCTGAATGGGGAAACTGAGGCACGCAGGGGCCAGCAAACGGAGTGATGGGGTGAGGGTCCGAACTCGGGGTGTGTGTGGCTCAGCTGCCTCACCCACAGCCTGGAACCTGGGGGTCAGCCACGTGGGGGAGCCTGGAGGCCTCTGCCAGGCCCCTCCCCCACGAGCCCCAATCCCAGGGACCTGTCCTAGAGCAGGCTGGGGAATAGAAGGCATGGCCACAGGGGTGGGGGGGGGTGCCAACCACCTGGACCGGCCGGAGCCAGTGTAAAGAATGCAATTTTCCAAGAGAGTTTGGGCAGAGGGTAGGAGGGAAGGGGGGCAGGCAGGGGGGTGGAGAGTGACATTGGCCTTGATCTAACCCAAGCTGAGCTGTCCCAGACTTGCCACGCAAGCCCGGGGGGCACGGGGGCGCGAGGGCAGAGGAGGCGAGGGGATGATGCTCAAAGCGTGAACCTGGAAAGACCCAAAACCAGCGAGTACAGGCGGGCTCGCCTGGATTCAAATCCACCTCCACAGTTTACTAGCTGTGTGTCCTGGGGCAAAGCATTGCCTCTCTCTGAGCCCCATCTGTAAAATGGGCTGTTGTAAAGACTTAGGTGGCGCTCTTCACCTGCCCTAGAATCCATCCCACGAGCAGGTGGTGGTTCCCTTTTCCCGGTCAGGCCGAGGTTTGCACAAGTCCACGGACTCGCCGGAAGTCCCCCAAGGTCACCTTGCCAGGAAAGGGCAGGGCCAGGATGGCCTTCGGAGCCCAGAATGACTGCACAACGGGGGGCCTCCCCCACCCAGAGAGTCAGCACGCTGATGAACTGCACGACCTTGTGTGACCTTGGCATTGGGTGACAAAAACAGCAGGGGCTGCGTGGCAAGAGCTTGGATGACAGACCCAGTGCTGACCTCTGGCCTCACAGGGTCAGAGGCGACTCCTGGAATCCCCTAGCTCAGAAGTCCCCCCGCCAGCCCCCAGGATGTAGCAGCCATGGGGGGGCATAATTGGATGTCCCTCCCCTATTAGAATGGTCCCCAACACAGAACCCTGGTTGATCAGCAGGCCTGGGGTCGGGGAGACAGGCCCTACTGCTTTACGGAGCCAATTAACCTTCAGGAAACAGAGGAAGCCGTGAGGTGTCCCCTGGCACCATGGCAGGGCCAGCAGGCTGTCACTGTAGGTTGTCATTGTTTTCACTGCCAGAAGCCATGGACGGTCTTGTGTGGGGCGAGCATCAGGCAGCCCTCTGGGTGCCCACCAGCTGCCCCTAGCCCCTCCACCAGGGTCAGGAGGCCCAGAGGTGACCAGTGTGAACCTCACTGTTCAGGTGAGGAGGCTGAGCTGGGGACGTGAGGGAGGGACCCAAGGCCATGGCCAGAAGGAGGCACGGCAGGGTGTCAGGTCTGCCCAAGCCTCAGACCATCCCATCTGGGTTCCGGGGACTCAGCCATTCCCACGCCACCTTCTCTAGTCTTCCCTAACCACCTGTCCGATGATTCACACAGGATGTTTCTGGAACCCCGCTCACTCACTGGCCTGATGCAGCTTCCGCCTAAGCACTCATGGCCATACCCGTGACGTGCGCTGGCCATGTCTTTTCTAACACGCAATAAAAATATAACCATGAAGACGACTGTCCTTGATCGAACCTGGTCTCCGATAGTGAAACACGCCCACGTCATGAGTCCCCTTCCCCTCCCCCCCCCCACGCCCCGATCTGATGCTGTGGGAGGACATGGTATCCACAGAGTTCTCCCGCCAGAAATACTCAACCTGAGTCTAATTGTGAGGGCATCCGCAGACGCATCCAGAAGGCGGGACCATTCTACAAGACAACTGGCCAGGACCTTTGAGGAAGTCAGAGCCATGAAAGGTAAAACAAGGCAGGAGACTGTTCCAGAAAAAGAGACGCTGTCAAATGCAACTCGCAAACCCTGGATCGGGTCCTGGACCTGGCATTAGAGACCAGCTACAGCAAACCTTATTGGGAGCTCTGGGGAAGCTCGTGGGGGGAGGGGGGGGACACGATGAGATGCCCAGAGGCACTCACGGCTGATCTTCTTAGGAACAAAACCTGATCTTCTTAGGAACAAAACCGAGGTTATGTGGGACAATGTCCCTTTTCACGGTGATGTGCCCTGAAGTACTCAGAGGCGAGGGTCAGGTGAAGGTCGGCTTGGGAGAGGTTTAGAAATACACACACGCGTGTTTAGGAGGAGAAGCCAACCCTGGCAAAATGTGGACCACTGGCAAATCTCGATGAAGGACACACAGGTGCTCATCTCAATGCTTCCCTCGATTTTTCAAAACAAAAAGTCGGGGGAGGGAGAGAGATTTTTATACTCCTCAGTCCACAATCCGCGTGTGCAACCCCAGCGCCAGAAGGGGGTCCACAGACGCTGGGAGGGAGGAGGCGGGTGGGGGACATCAGGGGTCCCCTCTGCTCCACACTCCACTCAGATGCCAGAGATACCAGAGTGACATTCCCAGGCTCCCTCTCCCCCAGGGGGCGGGGGGAGGGGGACCTCCATCCAAGTGTGAAATTAACAGCATCCGCCTACAGGGCGCTTACAATACACAAGTCCAGGCTTAAGGCTGGGAGCTCAGGGCTCGGGAAGGAAGGCTGTCCTCAGGGCTATGGACCCCCGCCTCCGAGCCCCTTTGACTGTCCCCCAGCCTCCTGGCTCTTATAGGTGCTGTTCCTCTCCCCAGGTAGTGACAGGCCTCACCTCTGTCACCTGGGTAACCCTCCTGCCCTGCCACAGGCCCCTCTGAAACACCTTGATACAGACAGGGCCATCACTGCCTGCCACCTGGTCTGTCCTCCCGTAAGCTCCCCAGCAGGGCGTCCAACTGGGCGCTGCCTTCCCAGGGGGCCAAGTGGGTGAGAGGGACGGCAGTAAAGTGGAGGGGCCCACAGCAGGGGCTCTGGGGTCCGCCCAGCCAGCACTCCAGGCCAGGGCTCTGCTCGTGAACAATGTCTCCACACCTGGAGCCTTGGTTTGCTCATCTGAAAATGGGACAAGGGACAGCCTCTGTCTTCTAAGGGGAGGTGGTACTTAAAGCATGTGGCATGGTGTCTACCATCCGCGGTGTTCAACAGAAGCACTGTCTTCTTCTCTTCCCAGCTGGGTGCAAGGCCCTCAGAGACGAGGGATGCCCCAGCACCGCCCTCGGCACCTGGCCCAGCACCCTGCACCCTAGAGGCAGAGAGTAAACCCTGGTTGATTCCCCACCGTCACCGAGCCACTGGGCCACGTTTAGGACACATCCTACAATATGTTACTCACGTACACATTTACCTTAACACCAGGGACCGGCTTTGACCCATTTTGAAAACGAGCTGCCTTTCTCCAGCCCACTCCTGCCCGCAGGCCAGGGGGAGCCCAGACTCGTTAGGAGACTAGTATTAAAACCCCAAGGCTGAGCCGTTGGGAGGCTCAGGGTCAGCGTCCTGTCTTGGCCTTTAGCAGGCTGTGTTACTCTGAACAGGTTACCTAACCTCTCTGAGCCTCTGATTCCTCATCTGAAGGATGGGGGTTACATAAACTCCCACTAGACAGAGCCACTGGGAGGGCTTCTTAAGAGGTGGATAGAAAACTCCCAGCTTAGGGGCGCCTGGCTGCCTCAGCCGGCCGAGCCTGTGACTCTTGACCTCGGGGTTGTAAGTCTGAGCCCCACATAGGGTGCAGAGATGACTTAAAAATAAAAATCTTAAGAGAAAACAAGAAAAAGCAAAGTCCCAGCTTAGAGAGAGTGGAGAGCCAGGAG